ATTGCTGCCTTTAGAACAGAAATAAATAACACTTTATTATCGAAAGAGTGTCCATGTGATTTTATACATTAATAATTTTGTGAAATGAATAAATGCACAATAATCGTCATAATCGTGAAATCTTGATTATTTCTCAGACAATAATCGTACCAACAAAATCTATAATCGTTGCATCCCTATTCATGTGCATGAAGAATTCCGTTTGGTGCTCGCGCGCACACGCTCAAAGCGCACACATACAGAGCGGCGTTTCAGGCAGAGCACGAACACAGAATTGATTCCCCTTTCGCTTGAACGGACACATACACACAAAATTATCTCAAAATAACCATCTCGGCAAGTATTTTCATGTCTTGAACGTAAACAGTGGAGAAAGAAATCGCACGTGCATCATTATATTGGATCCGTGCATTCGGTCTTAAAGGGGCAGCAGCCTATAAATACCTGCTGTTTAAGCTCCACCTGCTGTCAGAGAGTGACATTTGCATTTCATTCAGCCCGTCTGCTGTTTTTGTTTCATTCAGATTTTGTATGTAGTATCACAAAGCTGTATATTGTTTGACATTTTCAATTTCACAAAGTAATGTGCAGCCTTTTGGTCGGAGAAATAACAAAAGGACACCTTTTTTTAAATCGGTCTTAAATCTCATTTTGTTAAAGAAATTGTGAAAAAAATTGTATTGTGAAATCAGTATCGTGAATCATACATCGTGAGTTGAGTGAATCGTTACATCCCTATATATGCTACTAGTTTTTGCTGTGGTATCGTAGTAAATTGTTCTTTAAATAATAAGTGTTACTTAAATACTAAAGAACCATATTTTTTTTCCCCTCATCATGTGATCCGTTGCACCCCTACTCTCTTGACTTGTTATTTGAAGAAAAAATACAATATCTTTTATTCGGGCTAGTTAAATAAATTTTTGGGCTACCAAAATCTGAAGAATGCCTGCCCGAAGGGCTACCAGGGATTTTGAAATTTTGCGAGCCCTGCTTTCCTTTTTTGAATGACAGACAATTCCAAAATAGTAAAGACAACTGAAAAATGAACCACACCTTGAATCCAAGTTCTTGTGCACAGGCATAGACTGCAGCAGTCTTGCCCACTCCAGTGGGTCCAGTGATAAGAAGTGTGTTACACAAATTATCTTCTGTCTCATCCAGGCCTTCACCTATGAGCCAGGAGTCTGGATAGGAATAATGTTGAGACAATGATTTTTAAATATGGCAAGCAAAACAGCTAGTACCGTGCCATTTAGCATCTTTACATACCATTACTGTCCTCCTCTTGCTTATTTTCCTGCTGTTTCCTCTTCTCTTCCCGGTCAGCTCTCAATTTCCACTCTTTCAGCCAGCTAACAGTAATGAACAAAATGAAATATTAAGAAATTTAACAGAAAAAAAAAAGAATATTAATTACTGACATGTCAATAAGTGAATGGGATCTCTTTCACCATCTTTGTTTAAACTAGACAGTATAATAACCTGTGTAGCCTCCGGACAGACTCCATATTCCCGATTACTTCACTGGAGTGCTGCGGTAGATACTTCTCTGTCCAAAGCATATCCTCTTTCACTCCATCTCGAAATGAAAACATGAACAACCACATTACATAAAAACAACAGTGCAAACAAGTTTAAGAAACATGCAAGTATTTCATAACACCTTAGGTTCAATTCAAAATAATGAAAAATAATAGATGAAGAACAAACTACCAACCATGTTATAAATACACTACCGTTCAAAAATTTGGGGTTAGCAAGATTTTCTTTTAAATAAATTAATAAGTGTTATTTTGGTTCATCAACACTATTCTTTTGATTCATCAAAGAATCTTAAAAAATGGACCATGGTTTCTACAAAAATATTAAGCAGCACAACGGTTTTCAAAATTGATAAGTAATGTTTATTTAGCATCAAACCATCATACTAGACTGATTTCTGAAGGATAACGTGACACTGAAAACAGGAGAAATGACTGCTGAAAATTCAGCTTTGCTATGACAGGAATAAAATACATTTTAGAATATATTCATTCATATTCACATTTCATATATTTATTCATATTCAAAAGAATTTTTTTTAGATTGTAATATTTTATTTAAATAATACTTTGTAATAGATTTTACTGTAATTTCCATCAAATAAATGCAGCCTTGATGAGAATAAGATAAACCCCAAACTTTTATACTCGTTCACTGTTAATTCATGTTTGCTGTACAACTAATGCTCATGAAATACTGTAAAGTTAAAAATTGAAAAAAACTTTTAGATGAAAGGGTTAGTTCACCCAAAAATGAAAATTAGCCCATAAATTACTCACCCTCAAGGCATCCTAGGTGTATATGTCTTTCAGACGAATCCAATCGGAGTTATATTAAAAATTGTCTTTGATCTTCCAAGCTGTTTAATGGCAGTCAGCGGGTGTTACAGTGCATCAGTCCAAAAGAAGTGAAATAAAGTGCATCAATCCATAATAAAAAGTGCCTCACACTAGGGATGTTCATTTCAGTTATTTTTCCTAACCGACAACCGACGCTCGTTAACCGATTATTAACCGTTAACCGACAAGATTATTTTAAATTAGAATTGAATTAAATTAGAAAGGATAAGTGTCTGTGACCCGTTAAAAAATACTAACATTTGTTTCCCGGGGATGAATTTTACATGCTCAAAAAGCAGCAAACAACAGAACATGAGGATTAACATAGTCATCGTATCACATCACGCACCTGCAGCAGTTCTGCGAGCGGAGAAAATCATAATAAAGCTATTATTATGCTATTTATATATAAAACGAATAAATAGGCCTATACGAGAAATATATTTTTACTTAAATAATAAATTAAGAAAATGAAAGAAAAACTGTGTAACAAGTAGCCTAGTATGCAGAGTTTCGGATAATTTTTGTGCTGCGCGAAAGGAAACAAGACGGCAGAAAGCAGCATCCTATTTTTCTTTAGGATTATTTTACAAAAGCAGAAAGATTTGTTTTTATTGTGAATGTACACAAATAAAATTTTGATTATCTTTAGGACTAAAAGGAGTAGTTTCTTCCACTGTTAGAAGGAAAAAATTCAAGTGATTGCGCTGGCGCCGCATGCGCGCACACAGTTAAGCATTGCTGCCTTGACAATGCAGCCTGTTCATTATCATAATAAAATACAGTCAGTCAAACATAGGGGAAAAAAAAAACTATAGTAAAAAAAAATTTAGTAAAATCGGCTGTTAAGTGTTATCACAGTACCGCCGTGATGTTATGCAAAACATTTTGTTTTACGTGGATATTGGAACGCGAGAGAAGTACATAATAACTAATAATTTGCCATTCAAATACATCACGAATACGGAAACATTTGATTTTGTCTCGAATGATAGACGTCGGTGTTGGTTTCAGTTTCGTTTTAGCCTAAATTAATTTGTTTTGGCTTGTCGTTTATATTGCTATAGCTTCTTATATTTTTAATTCTTTAATTCTTTTCTAAATACTGTTAATTGAAAGGATTTGTTGTGGAGTGAGGGGAACTAAAATAGCCTAGTGTTATCACAGTACCGCCGTGATGTTATGCAAAACATTTTGTTTTACGTGGATATTGGAACGCGAGTGAAGCCTAGGCTACATAAATAATAATTTGCCATTCAAATACATCGCGAATATGGAAACATTTGATTTTGTGTGGAATGAGAGACTCAACGTTGGTTTCAGTTTCGTTTTAGCCTAAATGAACCCGTTTTGGCTTTTCGTTTATATTGCTATATCTTCTTATATTTTTTATTCTTGTTCTTTTCTAAATACTGTTAATTGAAAGGATTTGTTGTGGAGTGAGGGGAACTAAAATAGCCTAGCTATGTTTACAGTGTTTATTAAAATGTTTGTAAACATTTCGCGTCTGCATTGGCCTATTTCTGAATGAAAAAATTAAATGTGACTTATACGCGACTTATGTTTTTTTCCCCCAAAAAACAAAAAAAAATTTTTAATACGCATAGTGTATTTTAACCATGCAGCAAACCTTTTTAAATATTTTGATAAATTACTGAAAAAATAAATAATTAAATGACTTTTTAAACCGTTTAACTGATTGTATTAATCGGTCAAAATTCTTACGGTCGGTTAACCGGTTAAAATGAACATCCCTACCTCACACGGCTTCGGGGGGTGAACAAAGGCCTCCTGTAGCAAATCGATGCGTTTTTGTAAGAAAAATATCCATATTTAAAACGTAATAATCAATTTAATCTAGCTTGCGCTCACTGTTGTACACAGAAGCAGCTCCGGGCGGATGACGTATGAGGTCGGCTTTGCGCATGCGCCGTTCAGAAGTGACGAATGCGGAAGCCGCAGGGGAGAGATCAAAAAAACGGTCAAGAATTAGAAGTACAAAACGAGGATTTGTAAAGAAGAATGTCGGAAAATTTCGATATAAGCCAAGAGGAGACTGGTGTTCCTTTACAAAAGTAAGGAAACTTTGCTTCCTTTGCTCCTGTTAACAAACTCTGGTTTTCACGACTTAACAAACCGTGTAAAAAAGCATTGATGAGGGAAGGAGGGATTGGAGATTCTCATCTCCTCCAAAAGATGCAGCCTGATTGGCTCAGAAAACTCAGATCTTCGACAACAGGACATCTAAATAATAAAAAACAAGTTACTTATTTTTGATCAATTGAATGCATCCTCACCGAATAAAAGTATTTCATTCAGAAAAAAATATTTTACTGACCCCAAACTTTTGTATGGTAATGTATATTAACAAACTGAAATATTTAATAAAAAATGCAAAACACATAAATATAAAAATTTTCACCAAAGGATTACCAACCTGATGGCAACCAGCTCTTTTCGCAGGAACTGTAGCACAACCTAAAGACTTGTCCAAAGACATCAGAGGTACAGACGGTAAATTATAGGACTCCTTCAAACAACTCAGGAAGGGATTTGTGGGCCACTGGAGATTCCAAACAGAACAATCTGACATGGAAAGAAATGAGCACATTAGTCTTAAATACACACAATTTGAGAACACAATCTAGAGAACACCTGTCAGCTTACCTGCAGCCCTCTGCTGGACATGAACCACTGTCTGGAAGGAAGCACAGGCCTGACTGTAAGCTTCTCGGCTGGCTGCTGTCTTTGCGATCTGCTTTTTGAAGGACTCTGGAAGGCCACTCTTCAGAAACTCTCTCTTTGCTCTGAACTGTTCATCATCTTGCGAGTTCTCTGATGCCTCTCGACTGACAGGGTTGAGTTTGGGGGTACAGGCATTTATTAGAATTTAACACTAAAAGAAATAAAGAGCATTTGCCAATTCAATTATTGTCTGTTATTACTGACGTAATACCTGCTGTCGTCAAAAATGGAAATGACAGCCGACGGTCTCTGAGCTTTTTTCTCACCGAACAGAGGAGCCACTTTAGAAGCTGAAAAAATGTAAATAGACATCAATGCGTTTTTTAATGACTTGAATGTGATTTCCAAGTTGGCACAAAATTACAATTAATAAAAATAACATTAAGGTGCATGAGCACATTAGTCTTAAATACACACAATTTGAGAACACAATCTAGAGAACACCTGTCAGCTTACCTGCAGCCCTCTGCTGGACATGAACCACTGTCTGGAAGGAAGCACAGGCCTGACTGTAAGCTTCTCGGCTGGCTGCTGTCTTTGCGATCTGCTTTTTGAAGGACTCTGGAAGGCCACTCTTCAGAAACTCTCTCTTTGCTCTGAACTGTTCATCATCTTGCGAGTTCTCTGATGCCTCTCGACTGACAGGGTTGAGTTTGGGGGTACAGGCATTTATTAGAATTTAACACTAAAAGAAATAAAGAGCATTTGCCAATTCAATTATTGTCTGTTATTACTGACGTAATACCTGCTGTCGTCAAAAATGGAAATGACAGCCGACGGTCTCGGAGCTTTTTTCTCACCGAACAGAGGAGCCACTTTAGAAGCTGAAAAAATGTAAATAGACATCAATGCGTTTTTTTAATGACTTGAATGTGATTTCCAAGTTGGCACAAAATTACAATTAATAAAAATAACATTAAGGTGTTGACTTAATTTTAACCATTTGTGTCAGCACCGTACCTGCAGGATACGTCTTAGATGTTTTATTTTGAGATGTATTTTTACCCAAAACTTCATTCAAACTACGAAGCTTCTTCTGGCTTTTGTCATTTTCCTGTGAGGTGACTGGAGTGCTTTTGCTTTCCTCCAAAAACACTACAGAATCCTAAAAAGAAGACATTATATAAATTATAAAAACTAAAAATAACTTGACTTAAAGAATTTGAGTAATTTTAGCAGCAGTTCCTGTAAGCATAAATAATTTACACAAATTTACTTTTAACACGCCCACTATCTTACCTTATCTTCACAGTAATTTATGATGGACTCTTTGCTTCTTGTAGAGCATCGTACAGTGTCTTTATCTTTATTAGTGTCCTTTTTACTTTGCTGAAGAGTTTTGGCTTTCTGCACCAGCTTTCTAGCTTGTTTTATCTTTTTAACTGCATTTAATTCCTAACAAAGAAGAGCTTTTGTGAGTAATCTTCAGTCTTAAAACAACTACTAATAACAATTGTTTTATTAATAAAATATCATTATTTCATTTAGATTACACAGATTTTTAAATCAAATAATTACATAAAAACGCTTATATACACAATTCTTTTAAGAAATGTTAAAAAATTACATAGCATTATTTTTTTTATAATATACATAAATCATAAATGTTAGTTACCTGTGTTGAGAGAGGACTTGATATTTCAAAATCACCAGCTTTTGTAGCAGAGGATGGAAATACCCTGGTGATTCTCATTCTATCAAATAAAATGTTTGATTTATTGTCTCATGTACTTCACAAAAAACAATTAAAGTAGGAAATTAAAAAGTGAATCTCACCTGATAGGGCTGCCTTTCATGTCTGGTGGGCAGAGCATTTCAGATCTATACATGCCTCTTTTGGGTCTTTGAGCTTTTGGGGTAGAGGCCAGAGAGGGAGAGGGTGTATTTTGGTTCTCATCATCTTTCTTTGTGTCCTCTTGCCTCTCTTTCTTCTGTGGTGCGGTATTAAGCACAGCGGCTGACTGTCTACGTGAAAGCTCTCTGGTCGACCTCCTCAGCTCTCTGACAGCCTTTTCACTGTTGTCATCATCAGCTGGGCTACTGTCTTTGTCGACATCTGTTGGAGGTTCTTCAGGTTTCGGAGTTGCAGCTTGTGCATCTTCAGCTTTCTTAGCGTGCCCCTTCTTCCCAGATTTCCTAACTCGCTTCTTTTTGTCACCTGGACAGCTCTTCTGCTCTTCATGCTGCTCCGAGCTGGTGACTTCAGTTTTGCTCTCAAGAGATTTTTCTTCAGTTTTGTTCTCAAGAGATTTTTCATGTTGATTGTCTGCTGCCTCCGAGACTTTCTCTTGAACCTGGTTCTGCTTGCTCTGACCCTTGTTGGTTTTGCTTTTAAAACCATCAAGACTAGGCTGCTTAAAAGCACTCATAAACTGCTGTAGGTTTTGGCCGGTTTTAGCGTAGTTGGATTGTTTTCGACAAATGGCGCCAAATATCATGGAGGTCTTTCGCCGCGCCGGTTCGGCCAATCACAGCCCGTGTCGTCATACATTCTGAAACAGGAAAAAGCGCTTTTTCAAACGACATTCGATTTCAAAATACTAACAGTCATTTGGAAAATACCACAAGAACAAACAGGTCTTTCTTGGTTTAATTTTAATTAACGTTGGTTATGGTGTCATCTTAAATGTAATTAACTTGAACTAAGGGTTACATCACGCCTAATATCTATATATATATATATCCCACATTTAAGGTTTATACTGTTAAAAAAATTGCATCATGATAGAGAGTTTAACAATCTTAACTTTTTCTGTCAGATCAAGATTTTTCCACTCACCCATTTTTATTTTACGAGTTGAATGTATGTCATTATTAAGAGCAATGGATATATGCTGTCAAGTAGAACAGGTGATCGGCACCTTTATTTTGAAGAGCGGAACAGTTTGCTTGTTGATGTGATGGTCACACTTGCATACGCCGCTTTCCCAATTTACCATCTTACAAAAGAAACAACGGATGCCTAAACAAATTTAATCCAAAGCCCAAGGTATTTATTGTTTATTCAAACGTACATTTCAACGTGTGAAATGCAATTCTTTTTTTAATCGTAGTACTTTGGCAGAAAACTCAAACAAACACGGCACAGCATTCACGCTAACCGCTTTGTCCCTGCACTATTTTTGTAAACCAGGCTTTGCTATTCTAATTTTTGCAATAAAATTGTAAGATCCTCGACTGAAAACTAAAATGCAAAGAGGTCGTCAAAATTAATGGCTAAGTTGCGTCCAAGAAAGTGAAGAATTAAAATAGTTTAATTTGTTGTATTATTTTTAGTAGTGATATTTAAAATAACACCGACATTCTAATTTAATAAAATAATTAATGTAATAACTAATAAAGGGAAAAAATATTATGTTTGAACATTTTACAAATTTTCATAGAAATATTTAAAGGGGTCATATGATGCGATTAAAATTTTTCCTTTCTCATTGAAGTGTTACAAGCTCTTGGTGCATAAAGAAGATCTGTAAAGTTGCAAAGACTAAAGTCTCAAATCCAAAGAGATATTCTTTATAAAAGTTAAGAGTCAGCCACACCTACCTAAAACGGCTCGTTCTATGTGGAAAATAATGTGTTTTTTGAACCTTAAACCGCATAAACACATTTCATTACACCAAATACACAAAATAATGTTCTTTTTAGCAGCATCATATGCCCCCTTTAAATTAAAAACAATATATTAATATAAATTATTATTGTTGCTGTTATTATTTTAGAGAGTTTATTATTATTATTAAACTTACTGATACACTAAAAGACTCACTGGGACATTTGTGTCAAGTGAGTTTCAAGCATGCATATGATTTTGACATTTCTTATGATTCTTTTCTTATCTCTGTTTTATCTCGATGATCCCAAATTATGTGCATTTATGTGTGTAATTATGTGCACAACCTCATAATCTCTTAATTTCTCAGGAGGCTGTGTGTGCTCGTGGTCTCTGTGAGACTAACAGAGGACTGGAGAGCCAGTGAGAGTCAGGGTTTTTATCAGCCTCACATTGAGGGGTATTTCTGTGAGTGTGTATGCATGTGTGTCATGATGGGCGACGTCATTGACTTGGACAGACAGATCGAGCAACTCAGACGCTGTGAACTTATCAAGGAAACTGAAGTCAAGGCGCTGTGTGCCAAAGCGAGGTAATGCTTAGGTGCTGAAGAGACACGATACCATTATGCATTTGTTGTACTTATTAGTTTTACTCCGCTATGCGCAACCCATGTGCATCTAAGTCACTGGTGCTTACTGTTAAGTTGTATATCATTATACAGTTGCTTGATTTGAATTAAAGTTGCAAAAGCTACCTCATTTATGCTGTAAGTTTCATGGTTTTGCTTAATAGGGAGATTCTGGTGGAAGAGAGTAATGTTCAGAGGGTAGATTCTCCCGTCACGGTGAGTATTTCTGTATACACCGGATTATGCAATTGTGAAATCAGCTCACTATTTATTTATTTAATCTGTAGGTCTGTGGAGATATACATGGGCAGTTTTATGATTTAAAGGAGCTATTTAGGGTAAGTGTTTGAGAATGCAATATGGCATTTGTTAAATTTACACTGCACTACAATCATTATATCTGCACTGTTTGTTTATTTCACTGGTTTGCACTCTATCTGCCATGTGCCTTGTGCTGCTTTATTTATCTTTTTTTACATGTCCTTATTTGTATATTTTTATAGTTGTATTTTATATTTAATCTGTATTTATCTGTAATTTATGTTCTACTGTTAATGTTATCTGTATGCACCAAGGGTCTGAGAGTAACGCAATTTCAATTCTCTGTATGTATGTGCTGTACATGTGGAAGAATTGACAATAAAGCAGACTT